GGGGGATGAAGTGCTACTGCCGAGAAAAACGGCTGTTAGGCTCATCGAACGCTGGTCGGTTCCGTCCGGCCGACTCGTTTCCTGCTCCAACCGTGAAACGAGAATTAAATCGCGGAGGAACCGCGCGGAATGAGACTTTCGAACTTTTGACAGCCCCGATTGACGGCACGTTCGAGGGCTCTTTTCTTTGCTATATATTATGGGAAAACGATGGACGAGGAAAGACGTATTTTCAACATAAGGTAACTCTGCGTCTACTCTGATCTAGTATTCAATATGGACGTAAAAAAATTAAATCAAAATTATTATATATAATTAAATTATATATAATATAAATATATTAATAAAATTATATTAAAAGTATTGGTTATATTAAAAGTATTGGTATTAATTATTTGGAATGGATTCCGGTTGGAATTGTTCAATTATTCCCTAGATTTTTATCATGTTTTCTAAGGGGAAAATGTAATAATTCCGCGTAATCAGAATCCATCCCGAACAGTTTCATAATACCTATGTGTCTTAGTCTATTTGCTGTTTGTAGATAGTTACATGGATAATTAAGTCTTCATTGTACTCATATAAATATTGAAAACCTCTCATATTTTCAATTAATGTTCAGAAATATTGAGCTCTGAAAAATTTTGCCTTTGTGACGAACCATATCATTATTTGCAAACAATTATACGCTAACTTTATCTTACGAATTTCTAAGAAAAAAGATCAACATTTTATATCAAAGCGGAAAAGAAGAGAATCATTATAGTATTTGAACGGATAATTAGTTCAAGAAATAACAGCACTAATAAGTAACAACTCTGCCTGATAAAATATTATATCTATTTGGTTTTCTTATTAAGGTCTATATCTTATCTATATATATCAGTTTTTCTCAATTATGAATTGAAGAGAAAAGGAGAAAACTATTTGTAAAGGTAAAACGAGACGCCAAAGCTGTTTGTAAAGGTAAAACGAGAAGTCGAAGCTGTTCTCACAACCTCTGGAACATAATAAATGAATTTAACAAAATAACTAACGAACCAGTCGTCTCATTCACTACTAGTAGGCCTCTCGCAGCACTGTATATACATCAGGAACGCATCTGGAAACGCGCTCGATCGGCAAACAGGCTTCCCATGGAAGCGGAACGGAATACTCGAAATAGTTCGTCGAGAGAACAAGCAAGTCTGCGTTAACGACCGAAACGCGCTACAGATGCGTGGTAATTTACAATGATTATCGGCGGGACCTGATCCTGGGGGGTGGTCTTTCTCCCTGGCGAAGGGAAATGAGGGTGGGACGGCACGAGACGCGACGACCAGCGTTGCGTTCCCATGGCTTTGGATTACGTTGCTCGAGCCGCGTCGAACCGAGTTTCCCGATTTGTGTGGAACCTGATACCCCTGCGAGAAGGGTCGTGAAATCAAGATATATGGCGCGGCAGAAACCGACCGGGTGGGCAAGCCACCCCCTGGACGCGTCGTACTCATCGACGTCGACGTCGATTCTCGTTTGCCATCCCTATATCAATTGAACGTACGTCACTTTTTCCACCTTTCAACTATATTGGATTGGCCCCACCGTTAGCGCGATCGATAGTGTGACTCGCGCAATGCGATTATCAGGGCGAATCCTCGATACGTTGTTCGGTCTTTTAATTTTATATAAATTTATTGTATATGTATTTTAATAAATTATAAATATTGCAATTATTTAAGAAAGGAGAATCTATTTAACCCTCCATCGACAATGTTAGACTTTAAAGGCACTGACTTTTTTTATTATAAATTTTGATAATTTTTAAATTTGTAAAATATAATTAAAATAAATCCAACTTCTATAGTAAAAATCCGTAAAACAAAAACGCAATGATTAAAAGCCGAACTTAATAATCGTGCTAAAATAATAACCAACGATTATTATTTAAAACAGTATAAACATTTAGAATATCTTATCTGACAATTAAAATTCTTAATGCAAAATGTTTTCAACCTTTTAAGAGATCATTTCTTCAGAGTGCCGAAATTTTATCAAAAGTAGCATTAATAATTATGTTGTTAAAGCTTTCACAAATATGAAATGAATTTTTTCAGATTTTTTTTAGTCCTGAATAATATAAAAATCTACACTAAAGTCTAAAAACAATTGCGAATAAGGGGGGTGAAAATCGACATCGCTAATAAAGGAAACTTCATCGAAGAATTTTGAATTCTAGATATATGGAATATTTTTAAATGTTTAAAAGTGAGTTATATGATTTATTTAATATTAAAATAAAAAATTTATAAGATACTTTATATACATATAAATTTTTCTTTTCATAAAATCGCAACTCTATAACGATATGAGCAAAACAACTAAAACAGATAGATTTAATTGTAATATTGTACTTTTAACATACATTTACCAGTCTTTTAAGTGATCAGAATAAGATGTTCCCGCGAATCAAGTTTCATCGGCAGACGCGGTGAATTGGGGTGCCATCAAATTTGTTAGTGCCCCTCGTTAAATCCGCATTCACCCTCGGCCTGCCACCCCCGCCGCCGCGCCACCCTCCAAGTTCAGCTGGAAGGCTAATAAATATCAGCCGGGATACACTTGCTCCCGGGTTTCTCACTCCGTGGACGACGTCGGCACGTGCATCGCGTTCCATCCCAGATGATACCGTTTTTATTGAGCGATGCTTGCCCCGCTTTGGGGTAATCATGACCCATGGATAGCGACGCCGTGCTACCGAACGGCCACTCATCTTCATGGATATTGGCCGAATCCGGGGGTGTCACGAGAAATTCATCCTACCAAACTTATATTGCTCCTGTATTTCGGATTGCGACATCCAGGCAAACTTTCTGACAAATTGATACGTAAAAGTAAGAAAGTAACGGCGATAATTCTGTCTCACGAGTAATCTTTTATGAGAAATAAAAATGGGAATCATCATATCATTTTCTTATCTACTCGTTAAATGACTAGAATTTAATTGATTTAAGAATTGCAAAAGTAAATTATTCTATTGAGATTGGAATTTGAAAAATAGAAAATTAAATCAGGAAAGATTCGAAGATGCAATTAAAAGAAAAATTAACAAAACCAGACATTCGTTGATTTAAAGATATTTCAAAATGTTCGCCAGATTAATTACAGTAAAAAAATTACATTATTACTTTTCACAAATGTGTTCATAAATGTTTTTCTAGAAACTACCCAAAACTCATTGCAACCAAGTAGAAATATTTCGTACAACTGCGAAAAATGGACATCGGATCAAAAATCGACACGCCAATTCAGATATCTGTGAGCGTTTAAAGGCAATCTTTCTCGCCCGGTGTTTTGAGCTCAAGTGACAGCGGTCGGTTTATCAAAAATTAACTTAACACGCCACACGTGACGGTGCAATATGTGCAATCCCACAAAGTGAATTACTGACCGGATACGTCAGTGTGACGGTCACAATGGAACGTGATACATTCTCCTTCGTTTTCCTGAGAGGAGGACAACTGTAGAAATTATTTATTAGCTGTGTGCGCGGGCAAGTGCCTATAAGTGGCTATAAGTCACTCATAAATGATAATCTGCAGCGCAAATTATAAATTGCATTGCACCATCTACTAATCGGTCGCCGCGACTTATTTTTAATGTTGGTTTAACGCATATGTGTGGTCATCACTGTGAAATAATCATTCAGCTAGCAATATTCTTCCAATCAATGGATGCTTATTTTAACTTCTCTACATTTTCATAATAAATTTGTTTTATCGATTCGACTTTCTTTGAGAAATACTGCATTAATATTTAATTATCATGTATGTGCATAGCTTTTCTATAAATAGTACTGTATATGTCATATAAGAAATGCTATCTGTAATGTAATAATTTTAATATCTAAAAAGTTATTCTTAAGATTATAAAAAATTGCTATTAATATTATCGTTATTATTAGTAGTATTACAAAATGAATATATTTATAATATATTTATAATCATTCTAAATTATTTTAAAGCATCCGACTTTTTTATCGACATAAGGATGTCTAAGAAAAATTGAAAAAATGAAATATTTCGATTGAAAAGAAATGAGATACTTTTTTCTTAAATGCTTCTTATCGAAATATTTTAATCAAAGTTTAGTGTGACAGCCATTTATATTTCACTGCTTATTGGTATAACTTCATGTTACATTGCTTTATTTTGCACAGCGAAGATTCAATCTCGCTTTATAAAGAAGACAACAAGACGCGAGATGATGCGATTTTAATATGTAAAAGTGAGCAAATCGACGCTTTGTTTCTAAAATTAACAGCACGGAAATGACGATTTCATGTGTTGCGACAGGTATATTTCGATCGAGTAATTCTTGATGTTGAAAATCAAAACTGATCGCATTTTTGTATACAATTTACAGCATGATGGATGTTAGTGTAACGCTGGAAAAGAGGCGAAGGTGACAATAATCAGCAAGGAAGTTGGTTTCTGTCCTGAAATAATAGTTGTCGGACTATAAGAGAAACTAAAATGGAGCCGCGATCATTTACTTGTCAACTTTAACGCGCGCGACATAACTCAAACACTGTTTGCAAACTTCCTTGCGTACATTGTGTGAAAATGGATATATCTTTATCGTCCTACATGCAATTGTTGGTTGAGAAATGCAACGCCTGGACGATATACTGTGCTGTATATTTTATCATTCAATCTTTTGTACTGCTATATCGAAAATATGACATACAAAAGCAATGATAATTTTACGTCTCATTTTATTGCATTTTTTATTGAACTCCTAGATAAAAACCTAACTTCTGATAAGCTCTGCGTGCAATCTCATACAATATATCAAAAAATAATGTTACGTCCTAAATATCTAGACTTAATCTAATCTATTTAGACTAAATTATAACCTAAAATCTAATTTTACTCCCCACATATAGTCTATCTAGACTAAATAAATCTTATTCATACATTTCAAAGCAATGGATCTATGAATATATTATTATGTTGGCTTTAATCGTTGGTACATCTATATGGATGTGCAACATATCCATGTGTATCAGATAAAATTTTTTTTTCATAGATCCTTCAATGTAAAATGAACTTTTTTTACTCACCGATTGATGCGCAACGGGCGAAGTTGTCTGCCATAGCTACGACGATACTATAACACAAATATAAAATTTAAATTATAAGCTACGTTCAAAATGATTAGTGTTTCAAAAAATATCTCTTATGCGTATTAGTTTTTCTAATATTTATTTTTCAATTAAACATTTACTGATATAATTATACATATATTTTTGAAGAAAGATCTTCACACAAGAATAAATCTTTTTTAAATAAAATTTTAACTCCTTTATTTTCTTTAATTGTTATTATTTATAAATTGATAAAATGATTCGAATAAATGGGAAAGACATTAATTTTACATGGATAAGAAATGATATTCACCCCAAGCTTGCTTCGCCGGAGCCTGATGCCCTTCCTGGGCCTCTTCCTCTTCAGAAAGTTTGAATTGTAAGGCCTTATCCTCTCGTGGACACACACAGAACATTTGACACACACACTCGAGAAAAGTACACACAGATAATATAATCGCGAATAAACTAATTATATTATCAATAAGTCTTTTAATCCGATAACTTGAATGGTACACTCAAAGCAAATGCGCGACTAATCAGTTGTGGTTCGTTTATTTTTTCACAATTAAATCAGCATGACGTCTTCTTTTCATCTCTTCTTAGTTTTCCATAATTGTTTGTAAGTAGCACTCCTATAATTATAAAAATGTAATTAATCCTTTATCTACAATTATATTTTTACTCCCTTTGTCTGCAATTTATGTAGATCTTTTTTGTTCAGCCCAAGATTTTTTTACTGATTTAGGCTGGGTTGTTCCATCTTTTGGTAAACTTCAGCTCACTGTCTTACTTTCTTACTCTCTGTTTTATCCTTTTACTATTTTGTTTATCCAATAAGTAAATTATTACATAGTTTATCTAAAGATGGAATAATCAACCCTTAGGTTATCAAAAACTGTCAAAAAATTTAGAATTACTTTTCAAAATCTCTGTTATATTACTAAATAATTTTTTAACATCTCTCCGTGTTACATTACTAAATAGTTTTTTAACTCAAATATTATTTCATAAAAATTAAAATTTGAGCAAAAATTAGGTCGAAATTTAAGAGTAAGATTCGCTTGTGTCAAATAAGATCCATATTACAGACAAGAGGTTATTATGATTACGGGAGAGAATTGAATATATGCGACATTTTAAACAATGTTTATAAATATTTACATATTTTAGAATGGAAAAATAATGTGAAAAAATTGCTCTGATAATCATTGCTATGATACGTTTATTACTCATTGAGATTGCAGAGTTAAATTCGTGATCTAATAATTGATAATTATAGAAACATTTGATGTCACGAGTATGGTTTAAGCGATAATAAAATTATTGTATAATTATTCGACTGTCCATCTCATAATGTAAAAATATAGTGTTCCATTTCGAAGCACAAAGCCTATTCTACAATGTGCTTTTTGTTTTCGGTTTTCCGCTTTTTGCTATTTTTTACATCTTGTCTTTTTGCTTCTCATCCGGTTTTTTATTATCGCTTGAGATAAAAGTTAATGAACTTCGGAAGAAACAGGAAATACGTGGCAAGAAAATGTAATTGTCGATAAAACGATTGCAAAGGAGAAAAAAGATGTAAAAAGCAAGAAACAGGAAACAAAGAGCACATTGCAAATAGACTTAAAGTTTCTAGCAGACAAAAATTGAGACCATGAAATGAAAAGAAAAGTAAACTCTTTTACATTTCTTACGTTGTCTCAATTTTCGCCTTCTAGAAACTTTGTTTACACTTCCGCTATTTTCTCCAAATACAATACTTACATTCCAATTTATATTTTCGCCAGGGACCCCTCGATAAAATTCAGCCTGCTCTCTCTCTCTCTCTCTCTCTCTCTCTCTCTCTCTCTCTCTGTCCCGCTCTCTTTTATCTATCAAATAAATGACTACAGTAGTTTATCTCCGAAAATGGACTAGTCCTTAGAGCGATAAAAAAAAGAAGCACGACGCGAACCATTCGAATCGTTAGGTTAGGTTAGATTGATCAATTGGTTATACATTTACTTACTTGAGTTCACATATCGTGTTGGTTACTTAATCAGACTGCTGTTAATAGCGATTGCTCTCAGAAGAATGCTGTGGAACTCTCCTTGTCATGTTCGCATCTCGCAAAATGATACAACATGCAGAATGATTGCGACGCTGTTTATCGTCTCGAGCCCCACCGCACGAATATCAAGGTAATCAAGGTGACCGATCAGACCGATGCGTCGCGCGTCGCGCGAGTGACGTCACAATGCGCACCGTCTGTGAAATATTTAACGTATTAAGGTAAATTTAAACTAAACATTTGCTGAAAGTATTCTGCTCCTTGCTTTTCAATTAAATGCGCCTAGCAAATTATCGATGTGTTATACTTGATGTTTTACTTGAAGAGTAAAACTCGTATTTTATTCTGCACAATGAAGTATTACATTTAAATTATTGTTATTAATTTTTGCCAAGTTTCTTTCAGAAATTTAATACTGAGAGATAGTGATTAATTACTTATTTTGAGTTTTAAGAGCAGTATTCGGTACTAAATAAATTTCTATAATAATATTACATTAATCAATATTAAATTGAATTTCTGTAAAAATGAAAGAAAATTATTGCAGAAAAATGTAGCCATTTGTTGTATAATTTATGAATATCGTACAAATTCACTCTTCTCAGAAGCACAGAGTTGTTTGAAAAAAGACAATAAGAAATTAATTTTTACTTTTAATTAAAACAAATACAAATTTGTTCATCAAAATTCTTAAAACATTTTTCAAAAGTTCAAGTTTAATGTCATATTTAATAATTTTTTATATATATACGAAACATAAATTAATAAAAATTAATTTAAATTTAAAAGGGAATTAAACAAATTGCTTAAAACAGATAAAGTCAAATAATTTTCTTTATAAGCAATAATTTATTAATATCTATTTTTTTATTATCTGTGTAATATTTATATTTGTATAAAAAGGGACAAAACTTATATATTTAAAATTTCATATAATATATTTAAAACTTTCGACTCTTATTAATCTTTAGAATGCATTATTTAAGTATTATATCTACAAAACTCGACAAAATAATTAATTATTAAATATCTATATACTTATAAAATATATTAAATATTTATTGCACTGAAAAAAAAGTTTCTGTTGTAATAATCGGAATTTTTATAGATTCAACGAGAAACAAATCAGACTTACAATTAAATCTATCAAAATCTAAATATTCTAGTTGGGATAACCAGAATCTTGTTAGAATCAAAACATTTTTCTTAGTGTGCTTTCTTTATTGAAAATTGGGAAATCTTCATGAATCGATTATCATTGAAGTAATAACGGATTTCAATCGACCTTTCTAAATTATTATCGAACCACGTCTAATGTACGGTTATTCTTTTGTCTAATGAACATTTCCATCAGATCGTGCTTCAATGATCAATGACTGATTTCGACCTTCTACACTTGTAATCTAGGATTGAAGCACGCACGTGGCGGAGGATTAACGTTTGCGAACGGCACGAGCCAGGTCAATGAAATGAGGGTGACATCGAAGATCCGTTGACACTTGACTCCACTTGGCCGAAATCGTATCCCGGAAAATGCTTCAATCTAAATGATTAACTACGTTCACAGCATGAACCTATTCTCGAATTACACAGGGTATTTCGATGAGTTAAATTGCGATCTGACATTTTCTAGAAAACGTTCTGACTGTTAGACGTTTGGCTTTTTAATTCCTTTTGACATCCATTCTATCTGGTGATCTTCATTATATTTTAATTTATTATTTCTGATATTATTTCTAATGATGACTAAGTTAAGTTCCAAACGTTTCATCATTTATTTTTATTATCCTATATTTCTTCAATAAATTATTATTATCTTTTACGCTCGCTTTTGCTCGTTAAATTAATTTAATTTTTTATATTATCTTTATTGCTTAGTATAAAAACGAATGATTTTAATATTATTTGTTTTCGAAAAAAAGTTACTCTGTGGAACAATAAGCTACATGAAATAGTATTATAGTTTTCGAAAAATTGTATAATTTGCAGCACATAATCGCACAAAGTACTTGAAATCTAATAAAGCAAGTAAATATAATTAAGAAAGTAGATTTTTAGCATCGTAGAGCTGTGATACGTGACAGCAATACCTACGTCCTTTAAAATATTTAATTCATTACAGCAACTAAAACTCAATTTTAGACAAAAAAAGGCCATCCGAGAGTTTTTCCTGAACAAATTTGTTCGGGACGAGTTTTTGCCAGGACGAACAAATGGATGAATGAATTTCTAAAGGAGCCGTCAGTTTTTCCTTGCGGTGGAGTCAACGAGCACGCCATATTTTTAATACTTCACCGACGACGACGACGACGACGACGACGACGACGACGACGACGACGACGACGACGACGACGACGACGACGACGACGGCGGCGGCGCGGTCGCGTGAAGGCAGGCGTGGAAAAGTATGCTGTGTGCAAAGTGAGGCGAAACGTTACGAAGCGCGCAGCTGCCGATGTGCCCGGTCGATGCCTGTACATATTCGCAAGCGATGATTTCCTGTCAGAGGACGGGAATATCCCATGTAAATCCACTTATGCGCGGTCGCGGCCTCGCTGCAACTGTCGTGACAGGAAGAAAGGGTTGCGCCTCACTGACATTTATCGTGACACGAAAATGAGGTCGTGTACGGCCAGAAGTCAAGAGCCTTCGCGAAACTCCGCTGCGCCGGAATATTTGACGCGAAGGCTTCCATCACGTCGACCGGGATGCATGTAACTTGAGCGTCCGATCACGTAATTGCATCGCATCGCGTTCCCCCGGTGTTCGTTAACGTAATCGTGAGGATTGCACGCGGTTGTTGCATCGACAATACGTCCTACATGCAAATATCTCTTACGTAAAGTCGCTTCGCGCATATTTGCCTTGTACGTTACCGCAAGCATGAAATTGGTAATCTGACTCTTGGTAAATAAAATTCTTACCTTACAACGTACATTATGTATGCATGATTATTATTAAATAAAAAAAATGTATGTATCAATTCTTTATAATATTATAAAAAATATTTTGTATCATTTTATGATAATTATATGAAGTTATTTTAATATTATAATATTTTGCCTAATTTTATCTCTATATAATTACTAACAGAGTTAAAAAAGATGTGTATATTTTTCTCTAAATAATAATTAATAAATAGAAATCAACTTGCTTGTGGAAAATTCTCTATTGATTTCTAAAAAATTCATATAGAATAAACTATGTATATATCTCAATTGTTCTTAGGATATTCTGTGTATATGTAATACTAATTACTTTATTGAGTTCTTTAGAATATTCTAAGTATGATTCTTTTTTTATTTTCTTACTAATTATACAGAGATAAAATTGCGTAAAACAAGATAGAAATTTAATTAAAATTATTTTTTATAATTTTCATAAAATGATATCAGTATTTTATACATTATTATAAAGAATACTTTTTTATTTAATAATAATAATTATGCATGAATATATATTATATATACATACACTGAGAAAGAAATAACTTAAATTTAAATAAATATTTATTTGAATACTGCTATCTAAACATTTACTTATAATAAATAAATATTTACGTAATAAAAAGAAGTGATTGTTAAATGAAATTAATGTTTTTTGTACTAAATAAATATATTTTTGTTTAATAAATATTTAGTTGATATTATTCAAATAAATATTTATTGAAATTTAGGATATTTTTTTCTTAGTGTATAATACATACAAAATATACATTTGATGAAATATCAATTATTAATTTACAATAGACGAGCATAGGCATCGATAAGCAAATGGGAACTCAAAGAACGCTTTGAGTTCCGCCCTTATAAATAATACGGAAAATAATACGGGAAAATATACATACGTGAGAGCATACGTGCGTGTTAAAAGGGCAGAGAAGAGCCGCGACGAACGGACAGATGGCTCCTACGCCGAAGCGAGAGCAGCACCTTGATTTGTGGTCGAGCATTTTTCAAACCATTTGGCTGGGGCCGCCTATAATTTCCGCCGTTCGCCGGCCGTTCTCGCGTGTTTTCCTGCCTTCTGTTTATTTTCTTAACGGCCGAAATAATAAGCTCTCGCAACCGCCGTCGTGCGCCACGTCGGCCGACCGGGGCTGAGTATTCGCACTTGCAAGAAGCGCGGTGGTAAACCGCGCACTCGTTCACGTAGTACACGCGTGCCACGCGTGACAATACGGCACGCGATCGCGCTATGGAATCGAGTCTTACATCGCTCGTAACGGTCCGTTTCCGGTTTGAGATGATGGACCGCAATCTCGTGGCTGCCGCAAACTCGTCGACGGAGGCAAGAAATGCGATCCGATTGCAACCCGAGTCGACTTTATCGACCCTGAATTCCACGGGCTTCGATTTGTCGTATCATTCTGTAAAAAATTTCTCTCTGAAAAGTTCCTACAATACGCGCGTTTTCCCTTCGAAATCTAATTTAATACTGATCAATTTAATACTGGAAATTACTTATTTCGAAATTAAAAAGACAAAACAATAGAAGACTTTTAATCTTTAAACGACAGGATCTATTTTTAAAATCTTACAACTTTTCCTTGAGTCTTCTCTAAATCCTTTGGAATAGAATTTCATTCTAAAGAGTGAAAATTAAGCCAATCTTGAGAAAGAGTGGCTCAATTTTCAATCTTCAAGAGAGAAATTTTACTCTTCAGAGTGAGATTCACTCCAAAAAGTTTAAATTGTAAGATTTGTTATAATTCATTATTTTATTTTTTTAATATTTTCTCAAAGTATTTTTTAAAATATATGACGCTGTTTCAAAGTTACTACAGGCTTTTCCTTGTAAAGATTAAAACCACTGAACTGAATACTCAAGATAAGCTATTAATCACTACCTTTCGGTATTGAACCTTTTGTGAGAGTTGTCATTAATGCAACGAAAAAGATTTAAGAATTCATGTCCTTAAAGCTAATGTGAAATATAAGATTCAGTATTACGTGTGAAAAGATAATACGATAAACTATATAATATAAAAAATTAATGTAAATAAGATAAAAACCATAATGAATATCAACGTAATATTATACATGTTTTGATTGATCAATTCGTAAAATTTTTCTGATTGACCAATCAAATATTTCAAAACATGTAATGAGACTCTAACCACCATCCAGTGTAAAAGTTACAAAATTAACAATGAAACAACAATCCAGACCT